ACTAGAGGAAATAAATAGTCCAAATGTTGGAAAGCAGAAAGCTTAGGAGCAATTTTGTGACTGAAGTACTCAGTTGTTCCGTCAGGAAAGAAGAAAACCTTCTAAGAATTCTCAGCATTTTTATCTGACAATCACTAGCTAAATACTGGGTTTCCTGCTGGCTGTATCATTCCTCCTGTCGTTCCCGGCAAACATGTTTTGTAGTACTGCAATCCCGAACTGTTCAGTACAGGGTTGAATGTAGAAGAATGGATACTTGTATAAATTTATGTGTGTGTATGTATATATGTATGCTTTCTGTAGGAGCATATAATTAAAAACATAAATAAATGTTTTATTTTTATTGGAGAGGAGATATCGAGGTAATAAGTAAGAAAGGTTGCCAGTGCTTGCCTGAAATAGAATTTAATGTCACTTTTAATAGACATTCAGCTTTTATTCTGTCCTTCCTCAGGATACTATCTCTTCTTATGAACTTGTCAATTATTAGTTTATTTCAGACTGTGGTTTTGGAGATGCATCACTGATAAAACCCAGATGAAGCCATCTGACCAGACTTCATCCTAACCATGACCATATGCAGTGTCTTCAGCTCTAAAAAGCTTTTTTTATTTTTTTTTTTTTTTTTAAAAGGAATTCGATCTCTTTATAGCTGTTCTGCTACAGCATATGTGGCAGGTGCACCTACCCAATGAAAATAGGGCTTCTTGGCTGCTGAAGTGTAGCAGCTGGGGCTGCCTTTGCTCTCAGGGCCTCGTGGTAACTGGGGCCTTTGGCCAACGGGAGCCGCCACTGACTACAGGTCAGACTGGGCCTGGGGATCAGTGGAGTCCCCTGGGAGCCATTGGGAGCTCGTCCCCTGGAGCAGCAGCTGCGGGCGAGGACTCTCCCCTTGGGTCAGGACACGGCCCAAGGAAACTCTTTGAGGGACCTTGGGTCGGGACGTGCCCTGAGCAGGTCCGCGAGGTTGAGAGCCCTCACTTGCCAGGTGAGCGATAAAGGGGTTTGGGTTGTCCTTAAACCCTAGGGAGTTGTTCTGTTCTCCTCTCACAGACATTTAAACCTGTAATTTGTGGAAGGCTAGTTAACTGTGTTGACAATAAATTTTTAATTTTTGGTGGCTGCTTGTTTATGTGAGAGCCTCTGTTACAGCATATCTTTCAACTTTAGAACTAAATACGTGTGTAGGGAGAGGGGGGATTCCTATGTATTATGTCCTTTTTTTGCAGCAGTATCAATTGAATAGATAGAGGGAGACTTGCCCCAGAATAATACATAGTCTGGAGGTTAGACTGTTTTATCTTGAAGCACTTGCAATGGGTGAATAAGGAATTTGAATCTGCCCTGATCACTGGGGTGATCTACCTTCACTTCTGCTTAACCATTCTCTCTCAATTCCTCTTGAAAAAAAAATGACCAAATGTGACAGGCTTTAAACCAAAGTTAATGATGTCCTGATGATACGGGCATTTGTTTTTATTTTTTTACTGTGATGAAATTTCTCATTAGTTTTTAATGAAAGCTGGGTGTAGATGAGGACTAGAAGCTGAAATTCAATGCAGAATAAGGCAAACATAGGTTTAGGAGAAGGAGCTACGATTACCGGAAGCTATTTGTGGCAGGTTGCTTATGCTGAGTTGCTAAGACTGCATCTGGAATCCCACAAAAAAAGTACATACCATATGTCTAAGTTTCCCTTGTAAATTGTTTGTCTTAAAACTCTGAATCTGGGTTTTGATGGCATGATTCATGTCTTTGTGCATGAGGCTGGGATTTCTTCATTTCACTGTGCATAAAGTTTGGAACAAGTTAAAAATTGTTGCTAAGGCAGAGTGAATTGTCCCATTATCAGAAGGTATTTCAGACAGAGAGGATGTTGCTCATTTGTTCTGTTATTTGCAGACAGCCATCAGGTGATCTGTAGGTGAAGTTTAAATAGTTGTTTTGACAGATAAAATAAAAAATAGTTATCATTCTTGGATGCTATGCAGGCCATTGCTCTCTTTTTATATTATGCAGTGATCATTCTCCGGAGGTGCTTAAGCAAGGAATACTGCTCTTTAAAGAGAACTTGGTAATAATTAGTTATCCTCAAACTTGATGGCTTGAAGTACACACTGCTAGACTTGCCTGTTTTCCACTTTTCTTCGTGGAAGAAGGAAAAGTGACTATGAGTGCAGTAAAATTCAATACAATTGAATTGAATAAAAATTCAATTAAATAAAATAAAAATTCAATTTAAGCAGTGGATTTATTTTCCAGAGATGTTTTTCCTAGTGCATTCCTAATGTGCTGTGAATTGCTACTTGTGCATTAATATTTGTAATGTGCTTGAGATTTTCATAGTCATTCTGACTGTTTTTACTTGCACTGCTGTCCCTAAATCATGCCTAGTCAAAAGTGGTTATATGTAGATGAAGAAATATTTTTACAGAAGAAAAAGTAAGTTTAACTTTTTGAGAGGTTAATTTAGAAAATGCTTAAGAAATAGTGACTGCACTGTGAATCATCAGGTATGGATCTGGCTGGTAAATGTGCAGATGATTGTTATTCATTTTAATTTGTATTAATGATATTTATATCTTCTGAATGTCATCTTTGGGAGATAAAATATATTAATTGTCTGTAAGAGATCTCATCTCTTCCCACACAATATCATTTGAAAGGAACATGCCTGAATATGACCTTTTATATAAGGTGAATGAAAAAATGCAGTATAATTTAGGAGAGGTGCAAACAGGTGAATCATCAGTTTCTGTTTCATTCTGTTTTGAATGACTCCCATTTCAAAGATTATTGCTTGTTACTTCACCCAGATATCAGTGACAGAAGTACAAAACAATTACCTGTTACAATATTTGGGGATTTTTTTTTTTTTTTCTCCTTCATTGTTTAATTTGTTTTATACCTGCTGCAAAATTTCAAAGATAGAAATTGCCTGTATCTGCATGTTTTTGTGATTTTCATAATCAATGAAATTTCAGTGTTACACTAAACGCCTTTCAGGAAGGCATCAATATCCATCACTTCAGAACTAGTGTCTCTTACCTACTGTTCAATCACTGTGGCTCTTGAACAGAACATTCTGCTTGCCTATTGAAAATCCTTGGTCTAAAAGTGCCCATGTTATTGGCTGCTTTGAGCTTGCTGCTCCCTCTCTTACCAGTCCTTTGCAATTTTCATGAATTATAATAAAAATGTTAGTATAAGGATTATTTTTAAACTATTCTTCAAATATTAAAAATATTTTTGATTTATAATAACTATTTACAAGGAATTATTTGAAGTCTTTCGCATAAATTATGAGTTTTGGTTAAATATGTCATTACTGGCAGAAAAGTAACAACTCTTAGAACAAATGCTCATATATTTAGAGTGATGTTTATTATTACAATTTTTTGCACAAGGACAGCAAAATAAGGGAGAGGTCAGTAATGACATTACAATATATACATACTAATCAAGTGAAAGGACTTACATATGGAATTTCAAAGAACCTTTGAAAGTAAGGTGTTAAACCAGAACAGAATTTTGAAAAGGCAAACTTAAAGTTTGTTTTCATTCAGTCTTTAAGAAATGCACAGTTCATCACATACATTATGTATTATTTCCATTACTTAAATTTTACATGAATATACTGCAATCTGAGCCTAAATGAATTAAAAATTAAATCAATTTACAGTAATTTTTGCAAATACTTACAATTTATTGTACATTATTACAGCTTGTAATAATAAAGATGTGGTGTTCTTGGACTGTGCTCTGATTGAGAATAAGAGGTGGTCACTGCTTGAATAAGTGTACTTTGAAGCCTGCTAGGGATCAGCATCAGAAAATGCTGTGGATTCCCCCTCCCAGGAAGTGTTTAAGGCCAGGTTGGACAGGTTGGACAGTATGATTCTATAGTACATCATACATTTAAATCATATGAGCATCTAAAACTTGATTAATTCCTCTCAGGACTGACATGTAGAATACTGAAAAAAAATGTATATTCTCAGCTTCAGATAAAGAACATGAAATACGAGACAGAACTGGAATATACGACACTTCAGGTAAAATTAATCCTAAATAAAATATTACTGTAAATGATAGAATGATTTGAAAATTCCAGTGATGACTAGGGAACTGAAGTATGGTCTTTATTCATGTGCACTGTTCCACACCGCTTTGTGAAAATAGGGTTTTCAGACTTTGTAAAGTGAAACTATTTGATATTTTGAAGTTCAGAATCATACTTCTTGAATTTTGTTTCATTGCATTGAAAGAGAAATATATTTCAAATATATTGACACACACGCAAAAACCCAAACCACTTTTAAAATGTTTGGAATACTTTTTTGGCTTCATACTAAAAAAGTTGAATGTCTGAAACCATTTTTCTTTTTAACTTTTGGAACTGAGAGTGAACTGCAACTGCCTTTTGTCATGCTTATAGGAAAATAACTTGAAGTGAAAACATAGTATTGCATTAAAAAGCTTTAGATAAAGGTGAAAATTTCAGAAATCTTAACTTTTCTAAACTTCCTTAATTCACTAAGCAAGGTTTGCCTAAATTAGTGATAGATATTAATTTAACATAGGGACTTTTTTTTTTTTTTTTTTCCAAAGTGAGTGAATGACATGGATGTTTAAAGACAATATGATGGAGGGTTCAAGTTTTAAATACATTAATCTATTTGAAAAGGTACCCTCTTCATTGGTAGTGCACATTCTTCTTTTAATGTTATGGAGTGTATTTTTCATGATAAAAGGCATGTTGGTTGTTGTGGTGTTTGTAAGCAGGTCATTTGTCAGCATCTGCTTTTCAATGGTGGTTTTCAATGAGAATGATTACAGTAGCTTCACTTCAGCATGGAACATCATGATTTATGCTGTATCAAGGAGAACATGGACTTTCCTAATGACTTTAATAGTGTCTATTTCTTTGTGGAATTTCTTTTCATTTTCTTAAAACAATGGGAACATTACTGATTGTATAACCTTATCCCCTGTCTCAGGTCTCCTAGAAACCCTGAACAGAAGATCATTAAACGAGTGATTGCTCTTGAAGGAGACATTATCAAGTAAGTATTTTAAGCCTTAGTCTCTGAGTCTTTATAGGAGTAGTGCAGCTTTTCAGTGGGTTTTATATCAGTATCCTAGACAACGAGAACTTTCCAGTATTTTCTTTCTATCTATTCTTAACAAGGACATCAGCATTGTACCTTTCTCCTTTTTAATGAGAGGAGGAATGCTACACAAAACTGCTCACTCTCTCATGAAAGGTACATTGGTGCGAATAATGCTTGTTTCTTAGAATTTCTCTGCCACGTGTCAAGGCAGGTATTTGTAATTGTACAGCATTTTTCCAATAAGACTATAGGGCTGCGCTTTTTCATTGAGAGTCCAGCTGCTGTTGGCAAATAAAAGTAGAGTGGATTTTTAGGATTGTTGTTTGTTTTAAAATTTGTTTTATTTTGAGACAAGGAACTCTCATAGATGGCCATATTCACTGCAGTGTGTAGGAATCCGTAGGGAAGATGGTGGAACTTATTTGGAGTAAATTATTCTGTCAGAAAAGAAACTGTAACAAGAGTAGACTCTGGAGTACTTCAAGACTTGGTTTACTCTGACAGACCTTCCTACTGGGGCTGTGTGGAAATAAATTACTGGTAGATGTAAATCAAAAGTTTTTGTGGGAACAGTATTGTTTTGAAGAAAATGCTTTTTTGAAAAGGTTTCTTTTTCCCAGGTACAGAATAGAATTGGCATAGAGCTGGGAGGTTAAATCCCTAGTTTCCCACACTAAGATATGAATGACCCTGGAAGCTCTCAGACAATATGGCAGACTGAAAATCTATTCATTTAGATAATGATTCTTGCTCTGGTGTAGTGAATACTTAAGAAGTACTTGGCAGCTGCAATTCAAATCAAGGATTTGAGTGTGGTCTCAATGAGATCTAGTTAATAGCAGCACTGGTGAGTTTTTGGGCACCATGGAATATGTCTGTGTCTTGTCTTTTTTTCCCCTCTTAGAGTTGGTATAATTTCTGTTTTACTGAAAAATTCTGAATCATCTCAGTTTGAGAAATTAAAATAAATTCTGACATTTCTGTTGAAGCAAAATATCTGAAATAGCAAACACTAAAACGATAATTTGATGTCCAAAAACTATGGGCATCTACAGCAAAAACTAGCTATCACTTCATAGAACTATAAACATAAGAATAGCATGCGCTTCTGAGCAATGCCTTTTATAGACCTATGTCCTTAAGGAGGTACTTATTCCTTGATGTAGTCAATACTAGTGCTGTAATTATATAAGTAATAAGACTGATAGTCATGATTCAATAATCCTCATTCATGTCTGCAGCAATGTCAGAAAGAGATAGCAATATAAGGCAACTTCAAGTGTTACTTTTCACAGTTCTGTATTATTAACATATTTGTCTGAATTTCTGAAACTGAATGTATTTTTTTTCATAACACAAAGACATTTAATAACTTAAATTCCAGCTGTAGGAAATTAATTATGCTGTACATTCAAGTGCTTTAAGACTGAACTTTTAACTTCTGTGGGTGTTGGACAAATGGACAAAGATGTGGAGCATAATAGCTGTGAGTGTGTGCAGAATACTGATGAGCATGGTTAGTGAATCAATCATGGACACAGAAGGCTGTACAATTACCCTCATTTGTCTTTGGTAAAACAAGCTAGATTAATTTATTGATAGAAATATTAATCTCAGTAATTCAGATGTGCATTTTTCTATTTGAATGCATAAAAATTGTCCCAGAGCTTTTTGCTTTCACTGTAGAAACTAGTTTTTAGCAAAAGAATAAATTATTAGACTATTGTAACTTGTTGAGTTTTTATTGCATATTATTGTCTCTTAATTGTGTGTGTATAGGAAATGTAAGTAATACTTGCCACTTTTCATAGCACTAGGGTAAAGAAAAAGCTTAGATAATACGATAAAACAGCAAAGCTGGCAAGAGTTTTCTAAAATATGTGTTATTTTTGTAATGATACTGCAAGAAGGTATGTGACTAGCATATTTGTGACTGAAACAGACAACTGGTAACTGAAAGCATGTATAGAAAACATAAACATAATATTTTGACTCCTATTTGATGTCTGAAGACAGTCTTTAATACAAAGCAGAAATAATTGGGTTTAATATCTTAAGATTTTATGTCTATATATTTTTATATATTTAATTACTCCTGATCAACATAAAATGATGCTCTGAATGAAACCGAAAGTAATATGGATCATGTACAAAATTGTATCCGAAAGTATTAAAATGGAACTCTTCCCTATTGATCCGACTCTTTTTTTGGTATGCATGAAATGTTATTCACAACTGACCTTAGAGAAGTGTTTGAATGTCCTCACTCTTCATATCAAGTCTTTGGAGTATATATGCCTGTATGCTAAAAATCCCACTTCTTTAAGCCTTCTGCTGCTCCTCTGATCAGTCAGAATTCCTTCTTGCTGAGAAAACATCCAGTCTCACTTCAGAGCTGTTGTTTCAGTTCCAGGGTACAGAAAACTGGGAATCGTCAGTTAGATGTGGTGGGCTTCTAGCACTTAGGGGGCTGTTTGCGGGTACAATGGTTTTGCAGAGAGGTGGTGATTATATAGAGAGCTCTGTTGCGTGGGTCATTTTATCTGGAAGGTCAATGTAATGTACAAAGTTTATCTGTTGCTTTTCAAAATTTGCTTGGTGTCATGTGACAGAATTACTTAATACACACTTTCAGTGCTGAATCTTCCAGTCTTCTGTTGTGAAGGAAGGTTTGCAAATAATTGTGAGTTGGAAAATATTTTCTTTTAGTACTCTGGGAGATAGGTGCTAGACAATATAGTCTGTGAGTCTGTAGTTATGCTTTCATAGATGAAAGAATTATGTTTCTTCAATCTATTTGGTGCATGGTTAGGGATAGTTTGTCACAAGAATGCTGTGTTTTTTCATGTTATAAATTGAAATAAGTTAGCATTTTGCTATTTGTTAATTACTGTAAGTAATGAAAGATCAAATAGGCAGAACCATTAGTACCATAAGAAAGGCTTATTAGATTTTGACTTGAGTTCAAGTGTTTTGACTCCACAGCAGAAAAATCCCGTTTTTCACTTCATCATTTCTAAAAGCATTAAATAAGATTAAAATTGTGACATTTCAAAAATAATGACTGCCTTCCAGTTTTTGTAAAGGAATGTAGGTGAGAGATCTATAATAGGTCCATTTTGACCTTTCATTATGTATTTTTCAGGTAGAGAAACATTGTGGACTATATAGTACTTTATCTTTTAAAAGATGCTTTGAGGAATCGAAAAATGCTAAAAACTTACTGAAGAAAAATTCTGGCATTTAAATTTTCTGTTCTTGTTTCCAGTCTAGTTGGTAGTCCAGATGAAGTGAGTTTGGTAGTGTCTTATAAGCCCTGGATGTGTGTAGTGCATGCCACAAACCTATAACCTAATTTAACTTGGACACTCTATTAGACCTTCCTCCTCAAGTGAATTTAAAGAATAAACAGAAAAATCACCATTTAGCCCTTGAGAATGAATCTATAGGTCAGCTTGTATATAGACAATAGTGCAAAGTGTAGCTCCCATAGATCAGGTGTTGCTTTGTCTTCCATCGATTCACAGGACAATTAACTTTAAGTAGGAAATCATTACAATGGTTCCTGAAAACTGTTTAAATTATAATTCTTCCAAAGAAGGCCTTCTTTTAAAAGTCAATATAATCTAATTTTTAAAAAATTAATGTTGGTATTTTAAAACACTTTGAATAACTTGTAATTAAGCTTATTAAAACTAGTTTATCTTCCATGCACTATTGGATATTCAAAAATCTAGAGTAATCTATCACAGAAGAGTTATGGTATGTTTTCAGTAACACAAATAAATTAAGGTTTATGAAGTTAACTAAAATTGCATTGAACTAGTAACATTTAAAATTAAGTCTGTTCAGTAACTTGCTGAACCAATTTGTTCTTTCTGTCACAGTTGCACAGGTCTGCAGGAGCTTGGTGTGCCAATTCTGTTTTTTTCATATAATTCTTAATACTGTACTTGATTTGAGAATGATTTCTGAGCCCCTAGGCAGGGTAATTTTTAAAAGTGTTGTCCAGGGATGTTCTTTAGGAGTCAGTTTTCTGAGGACCGAATGGTTTAGCAAAATGATGTGGCATTTAAGTATTGCATCTTGCAAAACTGCTCTGAAGGTGTGAGTAGGGAAATACTCCTTGCTTCTCAAAGCATGACAGTGCAGAGATAGATCATTATTTTATTAGGCTGTAGGTCTAAACCAAACTTCAGTAACGTTTCAACTTTTATCACAAAGTCCATCATTAAATTGCAGAAACTATTGTCACAAAATGTTAGGAAGGACAAAGATATAAAGGAGTTCAAAAAAGGAGTAGAGAATTAATAGAACTAAAGCCCATCAGCAGTTATTAAATGCAGCAATCACAGTATAACTTCATGTACTCCTGTTGTCAAGTTCATGCAGGTTGTTTCATTTCTTCCTACAAAGATCCCATAGTGCCTTAAAATATAACCAAAATCTGGTCATTCTGTCCACTGGTTGGAGAACCCTTTCAGCTTTAAACAAACTGTTTACTCCATGAAGGTGTATGGCTGCTTTTAATTTGTCAGAGAGTAGGTGGCATCCAATATACTTTCAATATGAAAAAGACAACCAGCAATTTTTCTTACTGTTTTTTTTTGTGTTTTTTTTGTTTTTTTTTTTTCTTTTTTTCTTCACTGAACCAGCTCATTTTCATCAGATAGATGTGACTGCTATTTGTTTTCACTGGACCAAGGATGGTTGTCCAAAAAACCAGCTGTCTTCATGCAGATGCTACTACTTGATAACAATTTGTGTTAGATTATACCACATTACTCCCTGCCTCTAGGAACCAGAATGGCCTTGAGAACATCTCAGAATTTGGCAGTGTTGTGGCACAAGAATGTCTTTATGTAACATCTTCAGGGCAACCACTTGGCAGGAATTGCACCCAGACCTTTGTCATTTAATCACACAGAACTAATTTTACGTTCACTAGTGCT